CTTTTTAGTGCAGAGGTGGCCTACTGAGCATAGCTCCAACACGAGGTGAAGTTAACTTATAGTGGGTTGATTTTCGTGGTTTAGTGACAAGGTTGTTTCCAACCTTGATACAATCTGGAAAAAAATACTGGCTTCAGAAAAAGTAAGTAGTGCTTGATTACAAGACTTTGTTAACCGGCTCATCAACTATTATTAGTATAGAGAGAAAGTGCAATTTGTATAGTAACCAATTAACTGAAGTTTCACTTATGTAGGGTGCAAATGGAGGTTGTAGGCATGGGAAAGTGAGAAGAGGATTTGTTGATGATGGGATCAAACACTTGGGAGATTTCGCTGCAATTGACCAAGTGAGTATGTAACAGTCTCATGTGATTTCCAAATCCAAGGTCTGACTTCTAAGTGTTTTAGGATCTCTTTGAATAGATATGAAATTACTTGATGCTTCCTATCTCCATTCGTTACTTAAATTTTTGGCTGGTTTTTATGGGTTAAGTAATGTGAAACCAGTATGATGAAGTAAGATCAGAAAAAGAAGTTAGTCTCTCCTGAATTATTTGAGGGAATATTTTTGAATGATTCCCACTCTGTCTGTGGCCAATTAATTTGTGGGGTATTCGACAACGATGTTGTTTTCTCAAAGAGATATTTAGAAATCATGTGCTGTTTTGATGCGGCAAGTGTCAAATTTACAGCTTTGGTGAGGAGAGCAATCATGTCTTCAACTAATCAGCTTTCTTTCTGAGATTAGATTCTCAGAAGTCTGTGTTGAATGTGCATATTACAATAACCTCTCCAGAGACTGAAGATGGACTTGACCCTTTCGTATCTACACATGTATTAATTATATTCCATCTTGTCCATTTAAACAGAGATGACTACAATGACAGAAGCTTAGAAAACTATAGTACAACAAGTAGTTGGTTTCTCAATATTGATTTTGAAGTCAATTTCCTTTCAGCTATTTGACTTCTTCAAAACCTTGGACCATGTTGTTATCCTTATTTGTTGATCTTTACTCATTTGGCTTTATTTGACTTTCCTGTATTCCCTCAGCCTAATTAGAATTTAACTCACTCTTAAGATTGTGGGTCATTTCTTTGCTAAGCTAGATTATGATGGTGAATATGATATTGTTTTTGGTTTCTTGTGGCATGAGGGAATCAAAGCTTCCCACTTTACTCGTTGTTGCACTCTGACATGGCTCAAATTCTTCATCTTTGATCACTTAATCACAGCCTATACTTTATTTTAGTGTGTTAAAAAGATGGTGTCATTTCACGTCAATATAGTTTTGGACAACTTTTTCACCTCTGTTTTCTTCACTGATGGTCCCATGAGTGGCTTGACTTGAACAGCTAGCTGAACAGTCTTGTTGGTTAAATAGTTTGCTTCAAGAACAGGGAAGCCTTTTGGATTATCCTGGGAAAATGAGGGAATATACATGTCGACATTTGCTTGCATGTGAATTTGCTTTCAGACTCAACTTTCGGTTCCATAGCAACAACACATGAACATTGTTGCTATGGAAAAGGGTGGGGGAGAAACTATTTTGGAGCTGTATTATTGCTTGGTGCATATTTTTGTTTACTTGCTGTCCATAAAGCTTGCACTCACTTACTCAAAGATGAAATTACAGAGGAAATAAATAATAGAGTGCAAGTGACATATCGCTCTCGTCATTTTCACCGTGTCTTCTGCTCCCTCCATGAAAAATATGACAATATCAAGCAATAATGTTCTTTTGGGTTGGGGTGGTGACTGGTTCCTTTTGGTTTTGTGGGTTTTATGTCCACTTTTTTACTGTTTACCATTACTTGATTTCCCTCTGATTCCATCTTCTTATGGGGTCCCCTTAAAGAGAATGATAATAGATTGATCCTACACAAGGGAGTGCTTAAGTGACTTTTGATGCACAGGACCTTCACATATACTCTGATCTAAAGGAATGAAAAAGAAGCAAGGGAATGGTTAGGCATCATCCCAGAATCTACTTTTCCTGTTATGGGAATATATTAAAGAGCAAAAGGGGAGACTCTTCCAAGTACAGTTGCTGGTTTAAAGAGAAAGGTACTTCATTTACACTTTTTCTCCTCCCTTCTTTCCTTGCATTTCAAACATTCTGGCCACACAAAGATCACCAAATAAACCAGAGAAAAATAAAATAAAATAATAACAACAGAAAACACACTCAAAGTGAGGAACATATATTCTTTCTTTGTGTGTGAGGTATATGGTCTTGCGGCCACTGTGAGCCTTTTGATTTCATTTTAGTTTTAGGACAATGCTTGGGGAAGAAACTGCTGTTGAACTGGACCATTCTACTTTGGTTTCCAAGTTTTTGTCTGGAAAGTGTTTTTTGCATCAGTTGCCTGCAGACAAATATAAAACTTACTGATTGATCGAGATGCTACCAGAAACAAATGAGCTACTGTTTCTAGTAGGGCACTTTATCTGATCTATAATCTTCATCCTTGTTTGAAAAATCCTGATGGAAAAGTAGGAAAAGATAAATGTTTACAGCAGATCAACAATGGCAGTGAGATTGGAAGAAAAAAAAAAGCATGCTTTGGAAGATCAATGATGGGATTTTGATTCCAATAATCACAAAACCTTCTTTCCACGAAAATGCAAAGATGGATTGATCATCTGATTCCAATTTTGACTTTTATGATTTTGGTGTTGGCCATTCATTTTGGCTTTCTTTCCCCCTCCCTCAAGTCCTTTTCTTTTCTAAAAATTCTTTCCTTAGTTTCATCTGCATGCACTTGTGGTTTACAGACGAAAGCTAATAATACACATCATTGTTTCTCTTGCATATAAATAACAAAAGAATATGTCACTGATATCATCATGATCATCCATGAAAATGCTTTTTAATCTTTTTTTTCCCTTCTGTCATCTCATTGCTTAACCTAACCACAATGGTTGAGTTTCTTGAGAGCCTGCACTAAGTTACATCCCCACCACCATGCAAAAGCAAAGCAAAGAAAAGTTGTGCATAAGGGGAGACAAAGCTATTGAGGGTTTTGCTTGCTATTTACTTAAATCTTTTTGTGTTTTCTTTTTGGTTGATCAAAGATGAAAAGAAGAGATGAAATGAAACTAGACTTTGAAGATAGGGGGTAGGGAATCAAATTAAGACAGAAGGAAGAAAAAGAAAAAACCTATCTTTACTAATTGATTGATAGTATTTCTCATGGAGAGATTCCAGAGGATAATAGGTTGATCCAAAAGGGGAACTGATCATACTTTGTAAAGATAGACACTGTTGCCTTGTAGAATACAAGGTTTTTTTGGCTTGTTTGAATCACCGAATGTATATATAGAGAATGCATAATGTATTCATAATACATAGAAAATGATAGTATACTTAATCTCACCTTTTTGGTGAGATTTTGTATCATAGTTCATTTCATATATAATTAATGCATTCTTCTATGTTTTCCAAACAAAACATTGTTAAAAACCACACATTCTTAGTATACACATAATCTTAATACATACATTCTTGTGATACGCCATTTACGGAATCAAAGGTTCCAAACGAACCAAAGTGGATAATCCTGTACATGATCAAATTGCATGCTTTTGTTTTAAAAGCTTTTCAGGCTTGATAGATAGATTGTGGCGTGAGGCTTGATTCTCATTTGAGTGTTGTTTCTTTTTCATTAACCAAGCCATGGGCTTCTGTGTCTCACTCCCTCTTTTGAAGGGGGATTCATTCTTTATTATAAAGCAAAAACACTAGTGCCATGCATTGTTTAATTTGGTACTAAAAATCTAAGCTTTAATTCATTGATTCTCCCAACCCTACAAACAACAAAAAGAATCTGCCAATCACATTACACCTCGCAATAAAAAAATGAACAATTTTTTTTTTAGGGTTGTTCACATTCATCCAGAATAAACAGCAAGAAGGACAATTGAATCGTTAACATCATTCATAAAAGAAAAGAAGAATTGTTTACATCATAGTTTTCTATTTTTCTTATGATTTATGAAAGAAAGATAATTAGGAAAGATAAGAAGATGGAAGAGGAAAGATTTGAGGTCCGGTAATACCCGCGCGGGTATGTTTCGGGGGGCAGGTCGACCCATGTTAATTTATTATTGGAAGCAAAGATTTATTTTTTAATGGTATAACAAAGGAAAAATTGTTCATATATGAAAATAGAGATAATAAGTAGATAAATTGAATCTAATTACTTGAATTGTGTTAGTAAAAAAATCAATTTGAACCGCGCTATCTTAAGTATCATTGGGTTGAAAAATAATATTTTGATAAATCAAAAATAAGAAAAATACAAATAGATAATGAGACAAATTGAGATAGAACGAGTCAAGCACGAGCAGGACAGGGCACGACGAAAGTAGTATCCATGCCTTACTCCATACTGCTACAAGTTGTATAATACTCGATAAGACGGTATTCAAATCACCATCACTATTTAACTCTGAAGTCGTATGAAAGTGTATCATGAATCATGATGGTATCAATATACAAATCACCTTTTACCATCATCTACAATTTGTTACCACTCTATATAAGGGTGGTTACGGTGATATAATTGGTTTTGAATTTTTTTCTAAGAAATGGTAAATCACGATGCTCGTTCTTTTTACGCAAAAAAAAGTTCAAAATTTGAGTTTAAAATGAAGATAGTACAAAGTGGTCCCAGATGGTACTAGAATGCTAACGAGTGATACGAAAAATATTTTAAAATATTTTCTCAAAATATATCGAAAAATTTGAGTTGAAACAAAGAAAATACGAGTCAATTAAAAAAGTAAAATAAATTATAAAATCTTTTAATCTCGCCCGTTAGACTTGACCCCTCAAAATCAAGAGGCTGGATCTGGTATGTACAAATGTAAAACAAGGGTGCCATAAACTCTTTTTTATAAAAACAAAACAAAACGAACATATATAATACCAGCAAAATATAAAAAAAGAATAATAATAATAATAAAAAAGAAACAAAGAGAGAAATGGTGGGTGTGGGAAAACAAAAGGATAAAAACAAACCATCCACTTTTGTTTGCCTCTCCATCCTCCCTCCCCCTTCTTTTCTCTTCTTTTCAGAGATGATCACAGCAGCAGGCAGGGGAGGGGACTCAAAATTGAACTCTCTCTGCTGTTTCTCTTTACCCCCTTTTTTTAGCTCTCTCTTCATCATTCATCAAAGATTCTCATCCCATTCCCACCACACCACGCCCCCTTCTCTTCTTTCAAGTCAAACAAGAAAGAAAGCCCAAAAATATATTATTTGTACTACCAAAAAAAAGTTGGTATGAAATTACTGAAAGCTTTGGCGACCAGCTCATGGGCATATATTCCCTTCTCTCCAAACACAGCCCCACCTTCTTTGTTTCCAGATATGGAGTGAGAGCAGCAACAAAGGACACACACCCTCCTTGCCACTCACTCACCAACAACTACTACTACCAAGAGCTAATAATATAAATACAAGGGTGCTGCACACATCTCTTGTTGCCCACATTCATTCACAATCCACAGAAGCCAAGAAGGAAGGAATTTTGAAGGATCATTCTCTAGGGAGAAAAGAAAAGAGAAAGGCAGGAGCTTTCTGCTTGCCTCTTCTGAATTTATATTTCTCTGTCTTGGGTTATCTTCTACTCCTCTATGCTACACATACAAAATGGATGATAACGGCTCTCCAAGTCTCAGCAATCAAAATCAAAATATGAACTTGGTTCTGTCAACTGATGCAAAGCCTAGACTGAAATGGACAGCTGAGCTCCATCAGAGGTTCGTCGATGCTGTCAATCAACTCGGAGGTCTAGAAAGTAAGTGCGTTCATCATTGAGACGCGACATTGTTGATCATGTATTATTCCTCTGTATTGAATGTGTTGTTCTTTCTTCTTCTTTGTACTTCTTGGGGGCTGCAGAGGCTACACCAAAGAGCCTGATGAGGGTGATGGCGATTCCTGGATTGACTTTGTACCATCTCAAGAGCCATTTGCAGGCATTTGCTCTCATCTCCTTTGATTCGATTGCCAATATCTGGTTTTCTTAAGCAATACTGGAGGCCAGGAGTTTGACTTCATTGTTTGTCCTTTATGGTGTTGTTGCAGAAGTACAGACTAGGAAAGAGCCAGCAATTGGTGACCGATATCAAAGCAAAGCAAGAAAGTGAGTGGCCTGACAATTAGCTAGCTTCAAAGTTTATGAAAGAAATACTGCCTCGCGCCTTTCCTGATTTCTTATTGTCTGCAGTTCCCTTTGATACGGAGAGTCGAGAGATTCAAAGAACCGACGGCCAATTAAGTTGGAAAACGAGTGATGAACATGTCAGGCCAATCAATGAGTAATGCTCAACTATAGCCTTACCTCTTTATGTTCATGAACCAGAAGACGAAAAAATTTAATCACTTAACTGCTAATTTTCCTGGTGGCTTCCTTTACCTGCAGAAGCTTGCAGATTGCTCAAGCTCTCCAAGTACAAATGGAAGTTCAGAGAAAACTACACGAACAGATTGAGGTAACAAACAACAACACATTCATCACCATACTCTTTTTTTTTTCCTGCCTGTAATCATTAGCAGTGTTTATGTTACATTCCATAATGTTGCGTGATTTTTTCCCCCCAGGTTCAGAGACATTTGCAGCTGAGAATAGAAGCTCAAGGGAAGTACTTACAATCAGTACTGAAGAAGGCACATGACACATTAACAGTGTATAGTTCATCTTCAGTCGGCATAGAGCTGGCAAAAGCTGAGCTCTCTAAACTGGTCTCAATGGTGAACTCTGGATGCAGCACTAGTTCTTGTATCTCGGACTTGACAGAAACAGAAACAGAAACAGGTGCAGGTTCTAGCCCGAAATGGGCAGATAAAAAACTTTCTAGGAGCCCAGTATGTTCCATGGACAGCTCATTGACATCATCCGAAAATTCTGAACGTAAGGAAGGTGTTGTCCAAAAGCATGGTTCCAGTACAAATTGTGTTGAGCTAGCTCTAATGGAAGTTCACCCACAAGATCTGTCCAATCAGAATACATCGAGCAATCCAGGGAAGAAGAGAAATGAGAAGAGCGTTTCCGACGGTATCTGTGTAGATCAACAGCCATCGGCTAAGAGATGCAGAACAACCACAACCACATTTGATCTGAACAATGAGTATGAAAATGAGGTCAGGACCAGTCCGAGATCTATCGACTTGAACTGCAATGGAGTTTGAGCTCGACAAAGGGGTTTTCCTGGGACCTTTTAATATACACAGGAGAATGAATGGTTCTGGTGATATGACAGCCAACTGCAGCAGAAGTCAAAAGTTCGATGAATCGATATCCTTGTCCATAGTCGATAGACCTATCAATGTATATTTTTGTCACTTGAAAATGTATGAAAAAAAAAACTCAGGAGAGTGTTGGAAATGCATCATCAGGTTAAACAAATGTTAATATTATATAAAGTTAGAACGATGGTACTGTGAATACTTATGCCTGCAATGCGCATTTTTATAGATATCTTAGTCTGAGTTGCTATGGCATCTTTTCTCTTTTGGAGGCCAAGAAGAAGAAGAGCAGAGAACAGTGTCTTTTCTCTTTTGAGTTAGTTTCTGTTTTGCTTCCTACTTTCAGGAGATAATGGGACTTGCCTTCGAATAATGATTCAAGGCACTAGTCATGCTCTGATTTTGCGATAAAGGAATGGTAAATAGTAAATCATGAGTAGGATTTTTACTGCAAATGTCGACAGGAGTTCAAAGCAAACATTATAGATAAGGGCCTGAGGGGCCACTTTGATTTCACACTACCTTTTGGGTTGAATTTAGTTCAGTTCAAAGAGCAGAAGAGAGAAAAAAATATCTTAAAAGGCAGAGGAGAAAAGGGAAGAAAGAAGGAAATAATTGCAGAAGCAAGATCATTATGCATGCCATCAAAGTGCATTATTATCCAAAACCATGCTTACAAATTGCTACATTACTGCCTAAGGAACATTTTGGTCCAATCATTAACTCCACCGAAATGGGTCACAACCTCTGTTCCAAACTTCTTAAGCAACAATAACCATTGTTAGGATGAACAAGAAAAACATACATACCCTAAGAGATCATGAGCCTTCATCGTAGCTTATGGCGACAGGCTTGTTGCAGCTTTTCTCCCGTTGTTGCTGCTTCTTTACTTGTTTCTCAGTCTGCTACCCATCAAGGATCAAGACTTCCAATTGCTGCAAACGAGCCGAGTCGAGTCGAGTTTTTACTTAGCTTGAACTCGACTCCTTTATAAATTTTTTAGCTCGAACTCGGCTCGAACTCGAATTTTGATCCTCGAGCTCGACTTGATTAAAAATAATCCAGCTCGACCTCGGCTCGATAGAGCTCGATAAATGCTCATTAACACAACTTGTCAAGCTGAGTACAAGCTCGGCTCAAGATAAGCTCGATTTGAAACCATTCTTGCTGAAAAATGTGTACAAATAAGAACATTAGAAATTAAAAATAATAAAAAGAACACTAGAAACTAAAAATAACATCTACCTTCCATACACATCCTTATTAACAACATAATTTTCATGTTCAGAAGAGTAATTAATCCTTCCACAAGCTTTAAACAAGCCAGCTCACGAGGTTAGCTCAACAAGCCACCGAGTCAAGTTACCTCACGAGTTTATCAAGCCGAGATAATTTTCTATTATAATTTTTGTTTTATTTTTTGTTAAAAAATTAACTAAAAGGTAGAAATACAAACATTAAAAGTTAGTTGAGTTAAAAATAATTAATAAGATAGATTGATATTATCTTTTCAGGTTTACAATAGTCTAAATCAAATAGAACAATTTGAGTCGGATATAAATGAATTGAACCAAATTTAAACCTAACTAAAACTTAAAACCATTAAATCTACATATGAACCATTTGTATCCGCCATCCAACACCCAATTGGATCAAATTATCCAACCAGGCGACCCATTGCCATTCTAATCTCTAGGTCGACTCTTAAGATCTTCTGCAGAACCCAGCAAACATCACAGTTCTGTTGAAACTTGAAAGCAACAGTCAAGAGTGTCATATCTACAGCAGATCAGACTTATGAAGCTTATTTCAACCACCTTGGCCGCGATGTGATATTGTTGTCAGATGGGGCTTTAGGCAGCCCACAAATCCTTCTGCTCAGCGGCCTTGTACATCCCATCTTCACCAACTCGGCATCCCATTAGTGTTGAACTCAAGCAAGGTTGGTCATGGAATGGAAGACTAACCCCGGAATCGCACTTCTGGTTAACTCCAAACCAGCAAAAACCGATTCCCCGGTGCACCACAAGTTGCAGGGACAACAAAAGGATTCAATTTCATAGTCGAAGGCGGCAACCGACCAGTGAGCTCCAACACAACAAAGGACCCCTAGCAGTCGAGCTAGCAATAGCATTGCCAGAATCCAAAGGCAAGCGAGAACTAAAGACCACAGAATCTAGACGAAATCATGTATAGTTATTCAAATACCCAACGAAGCACAAAGACATGAATCAAGGAGTGAAGATGGCTCAATTGCTGAAAAGGGTTGCTGGGTCACAGTCTGGTGAAGAGTTGAGAGACTTCTGCAGAAATAAAGTTGCGACCTTTTTCATTTACCATGGTGGGTGTGGTGTTGGGTCAGTTGTTGATAAGGATTTTAGGGTGTATTGAGTTGATGGGTTGAGAGTTGCAGATGAAAATATGATCAATACATGTTTTCAGCTCAATTTCATATATAACCAAACTATCCATCCAATATATATTCATAGAAAGAGGAAAAATCTCGACATTATTGCCCTGTACAGCGTAACAAATGAAGAACCAAGAAGAACAAACAAAACAAGCACGAAAATTGAATTCTTTGTAAATCAATCTCTAACCCTAATCTCAGACTGAGCCAGAATTTGTGGCGGAATCAGTAGAGTCACCAGAACCAGTCGTTCTAGCACCAATAGTGAAGCTAACCCAAATCTCCCTTGGAGTCCTCCTCCTCTCCCTCCTTTCTTCCCCACCAGCTCCTTCTTCTCCTTCTTGTCCCTCTTGTTGCTGACGATCACTCTCCATCTTCTTCAACGAATCTTTCTCCTCCGCAGGCATCTGGTGCCTGCAAACGGGGCAAGACCCATGAATCCCCAACCACTTCTCCACGCAACCGCCATGGAACCTGTGCTTGCAGGGCATCTCCTTAACAACCTCCCCAACCTTCCACTCTTCCAAACAGATCACACACTCGCCCTCAATTCCACCCTCTCCCCCAATCTCAACAGTCGGCATGGCTTCGATCGAGGCCTTGGAAGCAGGCGGCTGACCACCGCCGCCATTGCTCTGGCTAGCCAGCAGCCAATCCCTAAGCAGAGAATCGAACCCACCTGAAGCTCCTTCGATCATGACCGTGCTTTGGGTGAAAGGGTTGACGAAGACGATCCTGTCGACCGGCCCTGAACTCGCTGCATCGGAATTGGAATTGGGTTGATCGGAGCCTTGTTGTTGGTCCGCGTTTGCTTCTTCTTCTCCACCGTCTCTGGTTGGGGCGGTGGCCAACCCTAGCATGAAAGGGATGAACAGAGAGAGGTCTCTGTTCCGTGAGAGAAGCCTCTCGAAGAAAGCTGCAATCTCCGGGACTTCAGCGTCGGACGACATGGCTGTAGCAAATTTGAGCTCGCGCAGAGAGAGACAGAGACGACGACGAAGATGGAGGAGGAGAAAGGGGGATATTGAAGCTTTGACGAGGAGGAATTGTGAATCTGTGGAACGATGATGATGAAGAATGGAAAAAAGTTGGGTGGGGATTTTTAAAGGGTTTTGGCAGCTGGGCCATTGGAGAACGGGGAAGAAGAGTGTAGAAGGATCTGGAATGTTAGCGGGGCGAGATGAGCTCTTTTGATCGTACCAGTGTCCATGGCGCGTTCGGGAATTATGTAGATCTTTTCCTACAATTTTACATTTTGTTTAATATTTTGTTTATTTATTTGTGTTAGTTGATGTTTATCCGTTTGGAAAATAAATTTCCCGCTGGCGCGTATTTTTCAAGCACAGGGACTTCTTCTTTTGTTTCCAGGTCAAGACACATGCACAGATAATTTTGAGGTTTTGTATTTTCAATGGATTATGTTATTATATTGACCGAAATCTTTTTCGTTAAACAATCATATTGACGTATTGATTAGATAGAAACAACCGGTTTTATAATTGAGTGAATAGGCATAGGAGAAAGAACATTTCATCTAGATGCACATTACTAATTTAGGTTATCAAGGCTTTCGATTACGGAGAAATTTTACAATGCTATATAGTATTAGTGCTATAGGGTTTTGCTTTTATGGTATAACCTGTACATTTACGTTATGGTACAATTTTAGATTGTACCTATACTTTTTGTACAAATTCTTTTATGGTACAACTTGAACTTGTACATTTATGTGATGGTACAACTTCAAGTTGTAAAGTTGTACCATAACATAATGGTACAAATTGCTTTATGGTACAACCTAAGCTTATACATTTAATGTTATGGTACAACTTTAAGTTGTACATTAAAGCACCAACACTATATAGCATAGTAGAAATGCTCTTCGATTAAGTGGATTAGTCTTTCTTGTGTATTATCATGAGGGCTACGAAGTTTGTTAGTTGGATACATGGATCGGTTGTCGGTTATTCGGATAATAGCAAATCCACATCAAGAATAAATAGGTGCGGGCATCGGTTACCTCTTTTATGTTTGTCGGACAACAGCTTGGTTGTCGGTTACAAAATCGCTAAACAATCGGTTAATCGCAACTAACCACTCTGCATCAACAACCCACCCGACCCTCGACACCACATTCCCTAACCACTCTGCATCGCTCTCTCATCGTGCCGTCGTCATCATATGGCTGAATTGATCATGTCGGTCGTCGCCTTGCATATATTTTAGATATGGTAGCTTTTTCATGAACACTTCAAGTCTAAAAGCCTTGAAGTGTTGGAGATCTATGAAGTTAAACTTCACACCACTGATGGTTCAGAACAAACCAAAACCCAAAAATCATATCACTGGAGCCCAATCTTAGATTCTGACATCATATGTGAACTGATGTCACTGCAATTTACTATTGGAATCCTTTACACACCAAATTAATGGCCAAAATTGTTCCCTAAGCTAACTTGACATGCAAAGGTGTCACTCATACCAATTCACAACTGATATCCAGAGCATCTTGCTCATTAAGGAAGATGTGAGTGCTTCTAGAATCTATCAATATGAATAATTTTGCCTTATGAACCTTGTCGTGAAATACCCTAGAGTTGGCTGCTCCTCCACTGCTTAAGTCTTGCATAGTGACTTCCACATGTATTGTTTGTTTCTGAGTGTTGAACCTCCAATTTCTCTTCAGGGGATCACTCACTTCATCCTCCAATCCTTGGAGGTAAGGCTCACAATTCATCACCCTATTAAGCATTGAACTGCTTCTTTGCCTCACACACATGTCCATAGTAATACTTATCTCACATTTATAGCAAGCCCCCTTTTTTATGTTACCTTTAGGTGTAGCCATGGCTGGAAGTTTGGTACCGGTATTTGGGATATACCGAATACCGTACCGAATTTGTCTATATTTGGTATTACCGAATACACGTATTATTTTGTGGGATTGGGATTGGGATTGAGTTTCAATTGTTATTCGGTATTAGGGATTACGGGATTGGGATCGGTATATACCGAAATACCGATCAATACCGAAATATAAGCTAGTGTGTATTTTATCCTCTCAACTAGACTCTCTCATTCAGTACTACGCGACCCTCAACCACCAAGAGTGCCATTTAATTATACATAGATCATTATATAGCTATTTCACACTAGTATTAGTCGTTTCTCAACCTCAAATTCATCAAATTAAAGATTACCAATTACAAAAACTTGAGATGTTAGCTCTAGGAAACTCAAGACTCTTTGCTTAGTCTCTTTGCCCTAAATTAAACAATAAAATCTAATTTATATATTTAATTATTAATTGCAAAAGTAATTAATTTTGTATTTGATAATACCGATTGGGATACCGAGTTACCAATTGGGATACCGAAATATTTAGGGATTGGGATTGGGATACCGAAATTATTTAGGGATTGGGATTGGGATTGATTATAGGGTTTAATTCGGTATTCGGGATTTCGGTATTTGGTATTGGGATACCGATACCGTACCGATTTCCACCCCTAGGTGTAGGAATGAAACAAAAGATTAATAGGCGAAGGACGTTAGGTGACTCGATCGGCTCCAAATCAAAGGGTGAGCTGCTCGTCGTTAAAGAAAGGAAGGGAGGAGCAGCGGCGGATCCAGAACACAGAAAAGCACTGGGCCGCATATCATTAGACAATTAGAACCGTAAAAAAAAACATTATAGTTTTTTTTACAATATAAATTGTACACGACAGTATTTTAATTTAGCGAATACATCTATAATAGAGTCCACATCCATACCAATAATATACACTGTTTTAAATAAAATACTTGAGCAATTGGCGAGAAATTCATCGCTCGTTTTGTTACACAAATCAGTTTTCATATGTTTCATTGTTGAAAAGGTTTTCCCCGTAGTAATTGGTGATACGAGGAGCGTCAACGCTAGACAAATCAATCGTGCATTGTGTGTCCATACCTATATCCACTAGCTGCTTTAGTAAATTTTCAGGGAACAAAACTCATATTTCTTATAGTCTTTTGTTTTAGACTTTTAGAATTTAAGATTTCATTATTTTTATTTTTTCGAAGAATAATCTTTGGAGCTAAAATTTCTAGGCTAAATTTATAGTAGTGATTTGAATATGTTAATTTGAATCATTTTTCTAGTTACACCTAATCTTATTATAAAATAACACTGGGCCGGATAACCAAAATCGAAAAATTTATAAAGGCTATACTAACTCCGTATCCAGAGGAGGGCTGGGCCGGGGCCCGGGGTGGCCACCCCCTGGATCCGCCAGTGGGGAGGAGGCGTTTCCGGAGAACGAGGTGAAGAAGCCATCGTCGAAGGAAGAGGCGGATTTCTCGGCGCCAACGGGAGACCCGAAGAAGGAGCAGCTTCTAGTGACGGAGCGGCAGGATGCGACTCTCCTCTCTCAAGACCTAGGTCGGCCGCGTCGATCAGGACCTCAAGCAGTAGCTGGAGTCCGCGACGCAGGGTCGGGTTATTCGGACCACAAGTCTTAGAGGATCAACTCTCGGGCCGAAGAAGTTTGGGCTCAAGTTAGGCCATATGAATCATTATACAGGCCACAGTTTGGGCCAGATTTGTCATATTGAATAGTTTAGCCCACAAATGACACAAAATGCATATAGTTTGGGCCAGATTTGTCATATTGAATAGTTTAGGTCAAAAATGACACTTTTTGAATAGTTTGGGCTTCCTAGTGGAATTAGCCCTATTATTTATGGTAGGACAATTATTAGGAATATCAATAACTTAAGGGTTAAGTTTAGGTTTATTATAAGGATTTCCAGTATTTGCTTATAAATATGTATTCGAGCATTCATTTACTATTAAACAAAAGATTAATAGAATTTATCTCTCCAAACCCTACTCTCTTCTCTCCCAATCTCGTCTTTCTTTCTTCCCCAAAGGCTTAGGCCGTTCTTCCCCAAATCCCCAAATTCTTCTCCTAATCCCTAGTTATATCTTTCTCAACCCTAAATTCCCAATTTTGTCTTATAACCCCTAATTCCCCAAACACCAATCTCAATTTGGAAACCCGTTAGAAATTTTATTTTTTAGGGTATCCGAAACCCACGGGTATGGGGATGAGTTTGCAAAAACTTATCCCGCATGGGTACGGGACGTGTATGAGTTTGGATATTTGAAAACGAGGATGGGGATGGTTTAGGCAAACCTTTCCGAAACCTGTCCCATTGCCATACCTAAGTTTTAGGCATTCAATTTAAACAATCATCGATCCTCAGATTCCTCGAATGAATGGAGGATTATGTTGTTTATTTATGTTTCTTTTAGGACTTCTACCTGAGGTTATAGTACTAGAAAATTCAGCAATAAGGGTATTTTGTGCTAAAATCTTGGTTTAATTGTGGTTCAACTATTTCATATCTACTACTGTATCAACCGCCTACCTATATGGGGCAGGTATGAGTTTGCAAAAACTTCTCCCGCATGGCTACGGGGCAGGTATGCGTTTTGATATTTGAAAACGAGAATGGGGATGGTTTAGGCAAACCTTTCCCAAACCCGCCCCATTGTCATACCTAAGTTTTAGGCATTCAATTTAAACAATCATCGATCCTCATATTCCTCGAATGAATGGAGGATTATGCTGTTTATTTATGTTTCCTTTTAGGACTTCTACCTGAGGTTATAGTACTAGAAAATTCAGCAATAGGGGTATTTTGTGCTAAAATCTTGGTTTAATCGTGGTTCAACTATTTCATATCTACTACTGTATCAACCGCCTACCTATATGGGGTCGGTATATGGTATTTCTATGTGGATCCAACGGTACGATAAGATTTTTAAAACATTGGTTAGTAGCGTATTTTAGTTTCATGAATGGAGGATTATGCTGTTTATTTAAGTTTCTTTATTTATGTTGCTTTCTGGCCCTTTCTTTGGATATGAACCACAACAAAGAATTTAAAGAAAATGTAGGAGTGGATTTTTTGCTTGACTAGACAAAGTAGAGACAATATTCGTTGATTCGATTCTTCTCATGGATTTTGAGATCATATTAAAGATCGGATCTGCGAGCCTTACAATTGAGCACAACGACAAAGATACAGTAGCCAAACTCGGAAGAAACTGCTATCATACTCCAATAACTCAACTGCCACAGCAATAAACTCGATACATTATATCATAAAGGGCTAATTCTAAAAAGGACCTAACAATAAGAGGAGGCCGATTAATACACAAAAAAAAAGGGGCAAAACTGATGGTGCTTGATGATACATGAATATTATGGTGTGGCCTATATGTTACAAACTAGATAAGATCTCTCTATGTACAATGGGGTCACTATTGCTAACTGGTACTGAGATGATATCATGATGGTGCCGAAACCGGAGTTAGCGAATCCTCGAGTTAATGGAGTCTCAGTTAAGGGATGACGAACCTGCGTTCTCAATCGCCACAGCATTTGGCCACATTTCCATCCTGGATCTTCTGCCACAGACACAGCAGCTCCCTAGGACCTTGGTAGTGGGCAACAATGTAGCCATCTCGGCATCCTTCGTTGCAGACTCTATCTTCTTTCTCGTATCGTACTTTCATGCCTTCGTTCTTCATCTCGGCAATCCAGATCCCCATCGCTACATCTTCTAGTTTAAACATCTGTTGCAATTTTTATGACGACGAGAAAAAGATAAGAGGACTCGAATTGATCATGGTTGCTATGTTTGTTTGGAGATGTAAACAAACTGGGATTCAGCTTGTATATGTGTAAATACCTTTAAACGACCTTCCTTGTATTTCTTGTAAACTGCATTCGCTATATCTTGAGAGATGACATAACCAGGACCATGAGCCCACGGGGGATATTTGTTCTCTGCCCATTCCTTTATTCAAGGAAACACAAATGCATTAGTTCAAAGGAGATGGCAAAAGAAAAGGACGGGAAAGAAGAGAAACATATGGTCTAAGGAACTACCTCGGAGCTAATGTACCACTTGCTATCAGGATTTCGATGGGGTTGGGAGTCTGAGTTGATGAGCCCATAAAGTAATCCCTGATTCACTTTGATTCTCTTCAAAGCAGAAAGGATTTCATCCACGCGAACAAATGCATCGTCGTCAGTCTTCATCACGTACTTTGCTGACGCAACTTGTGTCTGTTCACAAAAGAGAGGGTAATGCATGCAAATTTCATGTTACCGTGGTTACATCAAAAGAAAGAGGATAAAGGAAAATCTGCTTACCCCAAAGATGCAGATTCCTAACGTTTTCCATGTGATAAGATTATAGTAGTCCACGAAAGGCATCAGCTGTATGTCCCCATACGTTCTTGCTTCATTCCATAGTTCCTCATTTACTATTTGGTTTTTGTGCTGTAATAATACAATAGAGATTCATTAATCACACTTTTATGTTGCAGTAATTCATGCAAAATGGAAGTGCATGAGCAAAGCTTCACCAAGCCAACAAAAAATCGAACTGCGACTGCTCCTGAATGTATGGCAGCATACTGCATCCAAGTTCTTCTGACAGCCATCCTACGCTTGAAGTTGTTTGCATTGGAGAAAACACCAATGAAGAGATCCAGTGATTGCCTTGGGGAGAGAGGAGATGCTTTGAGTGCTTCTAAATCTAAAGAATGTTCTGAATCCTCAACTGCAGGGAGACCACTGGCTAGAACAGAGATTAACTTCAGGTCTCCAGAAGTCCTAACTTCACTAACAAGCCATGGCTCCAAAGTCTATCAAAGAAGCCACCAAATCAAGGGAACTGGGTAAGTTGAAACAGAACTAATCCCTGGCAGAAAGAATTCCATCATTAAAACTGAGAGAAGGAAGAGCAAAGAAGCATACTTCACGGTATGCAAAAGACGTAATGTGCTTTCCATCAACTGTTGTCTGGATTCCTTCTGATCCAACCCTTAGTGTCATCACAGAAAGATAATTCTGCTTAAAAGGAAAATATGTTCTGGTTCTGGATCCGTCCTGAATAGCAGACCTCTTTGGACCCTCACTGTGGATAATAGTACTGTTTTTACCAACCACCTTGTTGCATTGGTCCAGCTCATCCACTGGAAAACCATACACAGGAGGTTACTGCCAAATAGAAAAAGTTCACTACAGTATGGGCAGTCTTTGTACACTAACAGTAAGTTTGGAAACAATTGCACACGAAATGGAAATGGGAAACTTCCTTCCCTGATTCTTTTTAGAATTACAATTCTAATTCTGGTAGGTGGAATAATTCTCTCAACCATGGAATGAATTTTTAAGAATCAGAAATGATTGTATGTCTTCAGCCATGGAAAAAATAAATGTAAAAGAGAAAAAGAGAAGACAGTGGAAAGAAAAAAATAAGTATAAAAATTGTAGTCGGACTCGCCCACACTGATTCCATTTCCATGACTTAGGTGATATTTCTAATTTTTAAATGGGATTTCCAACGTTCTTTTCATTTCGAACTTAAGAAGTTATAATGGAATTGGAATTTCAGAAAAAAGCATTTATATGGGTCCAACTTTGTCAAAGAGAGCACAAAAAACTACCAAGAAAGATGATCACTTTTGGAAATTACCTTTCTTGATTTTCTCAGGAGAAGGTGCAGGACAACGTTCCTCATCACCCCAATCACGAGCTGCAGTCCAGGTATTTTGAACTATCACCGGTTCATCAGTTACCTTATCACCATTCAGTCTCACATTGTAATGATATATGATAGGCGGATCAGGCTCCCCAGGCAGTGATTCTCCAGTTAACTCAATACGGAAATTGCCAAGGAGACCTTCTGGGACCCCTATTATTGTGATTGAAGAGCCTTGAGTCAAACCACAAGGAAACTGCAATCTAAAACCCTTATTATCGAGCCCCGTTGCATTCATTTTGTTGAGAAAATGAGGGCATTGCTTTTCTTTAGCTCTCTTGTTTGAGCTGTCATTTGCATAATGACTAAGCTTCTCCTCCTCAACTGCAGCCATCAGATTGTTCCATGCAGAGACAGCTTCCTTGATAGCATCTAATCCATTTGGTAAAGCCTGAGAACCATTCACCAAGCCTTGCAACAGAGTCCATGTATGCAAGGATACTTTCTCTTCATTTGAAAGTGTCTTTCTCATGGCAAACAAACTAATAACAATTGCATTTGTGGAGATTGCTTGAGATGAGTTTTGTGGACTTTGAAGGGCTGGGGGAAATGTACTTTGCACCCACTCAAGAGGATTAGTTAAGTTGGATAAAGAGTTTGCCATGTAACCTTCTCCAATTGGATTGTTCAAGAAACCATATCTCAGAATCAGCAACATAAACAGGGATGCAACCAGAACTCCTCCATACCATTTCTTCATTGTAGAACTGGCAGTGAATACCAAAATGGTTATATGCTCCTCCTGCTGTGATTGAGCTCAAAAGGAACATATAATCCTTAATTGTTGATCGTCACATGGATGAATGTCTTCGAAACATGCTCTGCAGGGCACCACGCCAAGGTGCTAATGAGGGAGAAAAGTGTTGATCTATCTGACACAAGTAGTTGACACTGTTACCAAGATAAAAGACAGATTCTTCCATCTGGTTAAAGGCTAAATTCCATGGGAACTTTCACATCTTCCAGTTTTTAGCAGACGGTGTTATGGAGATAAAAGAGTACAGAAATGCCCGATACCTCCCAGGTATGCTACTGGCCTGACTGATTACAGCCCATGCACATCAGTAACCAGCGCCCAATCGCATTAACTTCTATGTGAAACTTCTTGTTGTGAAACGCAGATTACACACCTAAGTCAAGAGTCCAAAATGAGCAATCTATTAGACAATTGTGGAACTTAAAATTCAACCTAAAAAAAGGCATAAAGACTTTGAGGATCAAACAAGAGTCTGAAGTATGAACGAGGAAAGCTACACCAAACTTGGAAATGAGAGTAAAAGCAAAGTAATGAAAAATCTACCAAACATTTAGGAGCCTGACTCCAAGAACAAGACACTAGCATCACAGAGAGAGGTCTTCAAGGAAAGATCATATCAAGTTGATGTCATGCATCATATCCAATACTGTACAAGAGAATAATATGAGCTCTCTTCCAAACTTCAAATCAATGGAACTCGTGAGAACCCAAAGAAATAGAAGACCTCTCAAGATGCTTGCTCCCTTGAATATGAAACATAGAGAGATAACCGGTAGGCAGTTGCAGTCAAGACCCACCTACCCAATCTCCTATTGGACGGGACATTGTCACAAAGCAGTTGGTCTTTCCCTTTTCAGCGGTTCAACTCTACAAACCTAAAACTTTAAAACTTCCAAGCAAATCAACAACACGGCCAGTATAAATATCATCAATGACTTCCCTCAAAAACTAGAAAGATGCCGACCCAGTTGGCAAATACAGCATAGAAAACCAAGAAGACCGCAATCCTGCCCCAAAGTCATAATGAAGACCCGCACCAGACGCATTATCTTAAGGTTTGATTCATTTAAAAATGAATAACGAATCACCAACTGCCGCACTTTAATCTCGACTTGTCACCAATGTACGCTTCCTCCCACCTGGGTTTCCCCAGAGAACAAACAAACTTCTGAAAATGAAAATCACTCTCGAAGTACTGCTTTTACTTTCACATCGATTTATCACTCCCATCATGAATCAATCTAGAGCCCAATAATCCCCAGTTGTGGAGTTATGCACGAGAAAATAAAGGCCATTGACCCAAGACCAGGCCAGCAAGTCAATCAATGGAAGCAGTCACAGTCAACACGGCAAACAGAAACATCAAGAGAAAGAAAAAAACAAATTGGCCAAAACAAAAACGCGGAGAAAAGAGGTGAAGGAGAAAGGGGCAAATGTCGATACCACAATCGATTCTTTTCCCCTGCAACAATCCCACAGTTTTAAAATCCTCGCAAAACTATGGGGGGAAGACAAAGAAAAGAATCGAGGATGGAAAGCAGAGAACCGCCCGCCGTAGCATTTCCGATTTCCCACTCAGCAGAATTGAGCCGGAACCCAGAAGTAGCGAGCAGAGGGGGAGCTCGGTGAGAGAAAAGAAAAGGAGAAGAAGGTGCAGTGAACAGTTAACAGATCCAAGGCAGAGAATTGGAAGTCAAACTTAAAGTCAAATAGACGAACAAGGTAAGGAACGAGCGCCGGCCGTAGCAATGGCGGGGAAGAGAAGTAGCTAGCGAGAGGGGAGGAAGTTATCGGAGCAAGCAGGCAAGCAAAAAACGAAGTACTGACCTGTTTACCGGGCCGGGAAGTTCAGCCGGCGAGAGGAGGAATTGGAAATGCGAGAGGAGGATTTGGTTGAAGAGCGGAAAAGGGTATTGGGAGGCTGGGCGTTGATTGCTGTGATTGGAAATGGGTTGGAAGAGGGACGGATGGATCTATGTCTGTTTGTCGACTATTCTGCCTGAAGCCTTTTTCTTTCTGGGTTTTTTTTTTTTTTTTTTTTTGCCCGGGAGAAGTCCTTTCTGGTCTTTCTTCAACAGCGCGGCAGTAGAGAGAGAACGAAAGAGAGGAAAAGGTTAAAAAGAAGGGGAAAGTAAAAGGAAGTAACAAAGAGAGAGAGAGAGAGAGATGAAATCACTGTTTTCGCCTTGTTTGTGTGTTGGAATGTTGCGCCTGGAAGACTGGGGGCGTGTTTGGCAATTGGTTTGTAGCCTCCCATGCGAAAAGATTGACTACGAGTCTACGAGTAAAGCTTGGCAAACCCATTTGGTTTGATTTGTGGAATGGTATAGGTTGTCTAGTGTCAAAGTGATAAAATGAATGTAAGGGGTTGTTTGGAGGTTAGGATTTGAGATGATGTATTGTAATAATTTATGTATTAGTGAGAAGTTGTTGTTTTTTTTGGTTTATATAGTTATATTAACCTAGAATTATTGTATTTACTTTAAATGGACCCACCACACAATACATCAAAATGAATGATCGAAAATCTCTACTTTTGGGAGAGATTGTAAACAAAGGATTTGTTCTACAATTTCCATTCCAATTTTATCCCCTTACACTTTTGCTTTAACCCAAAACTACCCTCATGAAAAGATCCTCTCTCCCTCTCTCCTGTCACTCGTGAATTCCCACAGAAGCAACAAAATCACTCCACCCCTCCTCTCCTCCTCGTTCGACAATTGCGGCGACACCACTGGGAAAAGACCACCACCACTCCTTGTCGCGTCTCAAGTTAATTGCCACCGTCGAAATTTCATCATTGGTAACTCGCATACCGCCATCAGAATCTCGCCGATAATCGACGGATAAGGATTTCCGCAGCTGATTCTGTTGCGAATCGAAGAAGGTCGCCGTTGTTGGGTTAGTCGAACAGGTTTGTCCATTAAGACCCATCTACTCTTTATGTTGTTGTTCCCTCGTTATTCCTCTGTTTGAGAATCATGCTGTATAGTTGTAGGTCATGGCAAGATGCCCCAAGCAAAGGAAGAAGGCAATCATAGTTGCTGTTTCTATGTACTTGTGAGGCATTAGAATCTGAATGTGTGCAAAGGTTAGAACATGTTTCTGCTTGGGAAACGCCTATTGCTAGACAATTAGCTAGGGATTCTTTTATGCGGTGTATTGTTTCCCACGGTGACATATCGTCCACCATGCTTGTTAGAATGAACTGTAGGACCTTTCAGAAACTTTGTAAGCTTCTTAGAGATGTGGGAGGCCTTAGGTGTAGTTGGAATATTGAGATAGATGAAATGGTGGCCATCTTCCTTGACACCATAAAGCATAACGAGAAGAATCGTCAATTGCAAGTTACCTTCCGTCGTTCAGGAGAAACGATTTGTAGAGTAATCAAAACTGTTCTTAAGGCGGTTTTGAAACTTCACTCTCTTTTACTTCGTAAACCCAAGCCTATTCTTGAGAATTCCGACGATCCAAAATGGAAACACTTCAAGGTATATGCTTCCTTCTGCATTCTCTTATATAACGTATGCCTATGCTGGTTTTGAAATTTGGTTATGTTAGACAGTTGCTGACTTTATTGTTTTAGAACTGTATTGGCGCACTTGATGGAACAATAATCAATGTACGTGCAACCAAAGAGAATCAAGAAAGATATCATACTCTTAAGGGAACAATTGGAATGAACGTGTTGGGAGCAGGGTCCATGAAACCGTACCGTACCGGTGATGCAACCACGAAATATCAGTATTAGAGGCTATACCGATATGCGGTATTTAACGGTACTACGGTTGAACTACGATTAAACCACGGTTTTACCATAAAAATACCCTACCGGTGACTTTCCCGGTACGGTTTCATGGACCATGGTTGAGAGTGGTTGATTGGGAGGGGTCGGCCCATGATGGGAGGGTTTTGAGAGACACCCTTATTAGGCCAAATGGTTTAAAGGTTGCTAAAGGTAAGTATTTTCTTTACTATGCTGGTTTGCTCATTATAATGTTGTTAGATGCTCTAAAACTGTCTATTTGTGATGTCTAATGATGGTGGCAGGTTTCTATTATCTATGTGATGCCGGTTACAGTAACTGTGAGGGAGTTGTCCAATGTCGAGGGGTTGTCACAAGATCAAGTGATGTCGGCTGCAATGATCCTTATGAAGAAAGATAGGATTGCTCAGTTGTACTACCGTTGCCTACAAATGAAGAAAAGTTGTGCTTCCTTCTGCGTTTAATCAACTAATTAGCTATTAAGAGGTATGATCAGACAATGAATGTACAAGTGGAGAATGGTAGTTGCCTGCATTTTGTAATTCTCCACTTCATTTTTTGCAGCCTTCATCTATTGATGGCTTGTTTTCCTACTGTAAGGCTTATAGCTCAGGATTATGTAAGGGAAATGGGATGTTGTAATTTGGTTCTTTGGTTAAAGTACTTCCTCGTTCTATAACATTGCTTAGTTGAACAAAAACAAAATTACAACAACTATTGCAACAACTATAACATTGCTTAGTTGAATCAAACAACATAACAACACCAACTATTTCATTTCAACAGAAAGCTTCATTCATTACAGAAAACATAGAACCTTAAATTGCTCAACAACTACCCATTGATCAACAAAACAACTACTCTGCAACTCTTGTCCCTTCAAACATTAGAGAGACCTAACAACTACTACTACAATGAACATACAAAAGACAGAAGGTCAAACTACAGAATAATTACTCTACAACATGAGCTCCCAACACAATGGACTCTAGTAAACTAAACCTAGCTCTAATACCATCAAATTCATTGTTCAAAGTAGAGACATCTTGTTCTGGGCAAATCTTATTTCTCAACTGCAAGCTTCCCACTGGTAGTTCAGCAATAGATTCCTGAAGCTCATTGTTTTGTGCTTTGAGGACCTCATTCTCTTCACGCAAACGAGTGTTTTCCATGTTCAAATCATTGACCAATGCTTCATACTTTTTTGTCCTTCTCAATTGCCACCCCTATATCGTGCCACAAAAAAAATTCACAAGCTATCTCTGGCTGCAAACGTAAAAAGCTCAGTTAGTTAAGCAAACCCAAAGCTGAAACCCAGGGATGTACAACACATCTGGAACCACCAATCTAATCAACCGAACAAACTACCTGCTTTGGATTCCATTTAGGGCAGCTAAAGAACTTTCGATTCGGATTACCAGGTGTATGTGATGTTTTGACGACGACAAGAGATCCACATTTACAACTGACAAAAATCTCTTCCTCGTTCTCATCGGGATGTAGTCGGCTTTGTTGGGAGGAGTTCATTTGGACGCAACTGGATGCTCGACGGTGGCTGCAGCTCTCTCAACTGCAACGGCGGAATCTTCCTTCTGCAACTTCTCTTTTCTTTGTTTTGGTGAAAAGAACTCCTTCTGCCAGCTCCAAACGCATATACAAGTTGGAGGAGAAGAACTATTAAAAATTGATGGGTATTTGTGTTTTTTACTTCATAAAAGTTTTTTGTTTTACAAAAAAGTACACTATCATCTTCCAAACAAGGTATTTATGAATTTCATACATTGATTTAATACATCACTTTGAAATACATTAACTGGAGAAATACACCAATTTGGAGAATCACATCCTCCAAACAGCCCCTAAGATTGGCATTTTGACTCCATAAAACTTGATTTTGCTCCAATAAAAAGAGCCAAATTCCTCCAATTTATTTTTTGACGAAAACTAATTTAGTGTAGATTTATCATTTTATTTCGATCAATTGTCATTAGTTTTATATATTTAGTAGTAATTAATTAAAATGAATATTTTGATGTAATTACTTTTTAAATTGAACATGACATTTTTTGTCACTAAACATGAAGCCATCAATGAGGAAAGCACAATTACTAATTCAATCAATCCTAAAATAAACTTGTATCTTGTATTAAAAAAAAACGTGTATCTCCATCATCAAATTGTCTTTGTTCACTAAACATACAAAATCTCTAAACATGGCCTATAAGTTGAATCCTTAAACATGGGTCCGTTGAGGGTAAATTGCAAGGTTGGTCACTGAGATTAGTTTCACATTCCAGGTTTGATCACTATTCGTCAAGTGTTTTGTTGGCGTGTCTAATATAACGGGTGATTCACCCACTTTTAACCCACCACATCTTAAAATGTGACCCACCATGTCATAAAATGCAACACAACCCAACCCAACCCTTTCTTCTTGACTCGTTGCTTCTTCCATTTCCCTCATTGACCTCCAACCCATTCTCCTCGACATACGTCGTCAAGCAAAGAGAGTCGAGACAAGGAAAGGCTGCCGGCGGAGGCTTCCTTCTCCCAATCCCAGAACTAACCATCATTCCTCTCCTACCACCCACAATAAAATGAGCAACACTCATTCGTCAAATCCAAATCCCCCTAATCTCCAATCGTCGATGGTGTTCTCGACACCAGTGCCTCGCCCTTTCCATGCTCTATGTCATCTCTTCCTATTAGGAGATATTTCAAGTTATCGTCATTCATCAAGACTCAAACCGGCGACAATGAATGTCAAAGTGGATCGATAAAGTTTAGAGAAAGTTATCATCATCAACTTTAGTCTAATTGTCAATGTTTAGTTTTAGGTTTTAGTATGAGTTGTTATGTTTGTTTTAAGTTAATTGTTCTCCAAAACAAAAACAAAAAAAAAAAGATCGAGATCGATCTTTGATTTCCCAAAACTTCTTTCCCATCTCAACCCAGAGCATTAGTCACAATCCATTCCGGCGCACTGCCAGCGCTTGATTGTTCATTCGCCCGCCTCTACTTTACGCCACTACATCATCAATTTTCGTTAAGGTGGGGGAGCAACAAGGTCGTTCTCTTTCTAGCAACCCAACCGGCGCTCAAGACCAAAAATTTGTTCTTCAAAACGTCTCTCATCTCCCAAAACCTAAAACCCCAAATCCCAACTACCTTCCGCCACAAAATCATCTTTTTTCTTCCCCAAATCCAAACAAACCATCCCCTAACCCTCTTGGAGATTTTCCCATTCGCATCTTCCTTCTCATATTCCAAATCTCAACACAACAAAGAGAGCATAATCATACACTCGTCTTACCCCCTATTAGATCCTAGGAAACTTTGTTCACACAAAAGCAAAAAACCCAAATCTCATCCCAAACCATTCCGCCGCTTGTCATCGCCAACTGCCCAGCGCCTGCGGCATCGACCTCGAGCATAAATCTGGTCGGACAAGCCGTCGTGTTGTTGACGACCCGCTCCCCACCTTGCCGCAATTCACTCCAGTCACTTTAATCTCAGATACACGAATAGAGGCAAGGCGTTTTCTGGTTCTTAAATAAAAGAGCATGCGTCATCTCCCACCAAATTCCTTCAACCACAGCCAA